AAGGAGAAAGGGTTTTGCGACGTCCTAGCAAAATTGAAACGACGCACTTGTGCGTCGCGACGCCCATTTTGAGAACCACGGGTATAGACCATAAATAACAAGCACATGTAATACTAGCAAAACAGAATGGTCTCTTCTTTTTATTTTCGTATGACGAAAATATTCGTACTCCGCCATCCTTGGTCATAATATGGCAATAATAGTTATTTTCGTGCTATTTTACGTTTATGTTTATGTTTTGTGAAGTATTCCGGCACTAACTAAAACCATTTTAGGCATCCAACTATGATCCATGCTTGATCCGTCAACATTTTTTTTTTTGTAAATTTTTTATTTTACTACTAAGTGAATTTTATTTGCGTAGGTATTTCAAAGCTTAGAGATAAACGAAAGAATTTGTCATTACTTCAAAGATAAGTCATTTGAACGAGCGGGAAACAATCCCGCGCACATAATAAACAAACAAAGATTCCAGACAACTATCGTAAGCATGCTCTCACATAACATTGAATATTTCGCGTTTCGCTTCGCTTGCGAAGCTCACAGTCTGGTTTTGTGCATAGGTTACGTATCGCTCGTTCAAAAGAGCTCTCGAAATCTCGTTTTGTGTAGCACATGTTAACCGCAGCGATAAGTGAGAGAAACTCATTCTCAAAATATTTTGAAATTTCTCTCTTCTTACCGGCGTATGGTCGGACGGTTTGCCCTACGTCATTCGGGTAGGGAGACGCGAAAATAAGCTTTTTAAAGAGATATTGGGGGCGTTTCTTGCACGTTTGGTTAACTAGTCATTACATATTATAAAATGGTAGAAAAAGCGTAACCAGCGGAAAAAAAGGGTTTTGAGTGTAACAAGTCCAATAATAGTGGCTAGTCTAATAGGCATTCGATTATATTTAAACAATATATATAATAATATAGACTCACAGAATTGAATGAAAAACCTGCGTAAGTGTTAAAAATTCTTCAAAAAACCTTGCAAAGTATTCATGTATTCTAAACCGCGAAAAAAATATTCTCAAACCATAAATTTTACATGACTGATGAAATTTCAGTATTCACGGTAATTTACAATTTCTTCTAAGTCAGATTTGTCGCTCGCTTTGAACCAGAAAAAAAAAACAGACATTCTAATGCCACTGCTTCCGTTGCATATACAATCTACCACAGAGAGTGAGAGTGAGTGAGACAATAACTTTCGCATGCCGCAGAAGGTATTCTTTTGGTATAGGATCTTTTCTCGGTCAAAACATATGATATTCAGCATGTTCATTTCTAAATCTTGGCAATGGTGAAACTTTTATTTATTACGTTCTAATATGCTCTGTCAGGCTATGTTATTACATTGACTTAAACATCAGGCGCGATCGACTATTTGAGACGTGGCGATCGACCGCTCGACGTGTTGGCCACCCTTGTTATATAGTAAATTAGTATGCACGAAAATGTCCTAACAAGTGTGGAACTGAGATGATTTATATTAAAACTGATTCGTCATTGTGATATGGGTTGGAGTTATTTAATTCATTTATGTGAAAAAAACAAGTTATGGCTGTTTATAATTCTAAGAAAGTCTACATTAACTAGTTCTACTCCGATTAATATAATTGATTTGAAAAACAACAGTCAAATCTCACCAAAATAACAACATTCTTCCTATATATATTTTCAGGAATGGCAGTAGTATGTTCCCAATTTTGGGCGGCACGCGGAGGAATTTTGTCATTAAATTTTGACGATTTTGGCACGCAATCCGAAAAAAAGGTTGCCCACCCCTGACCCAGTACAAGGAAAAAAATTAAAAACTGGTGTTCTTGGTGATATATTTCTCTATACCAGTGTTTCCCAACCCGAGTCCGTTTGAATGAGTCCGCAACGAGCCAGCAATTCACTGCGGGTCGCAAACGTTCTTGCGAAACCTAACTATCAGCCAAGTTACGATTTACGTTAGAATTTACATAAAACACGAAAAGCAAGTTTATTCACATAGCATTAATCGAGTCAATATTTACTGGTTACTAAGTAGGGCTAGGCATATATTAGAATATTCAGTTATTAGAATAGCAATTTACTATTCGAAAATTTGGTAACAGGTGAGGCGACAGGTCACGTGCGCGTCGCTTAATCAAACGATTGTATTTCACAACTCACTTGCGGATTTCCAATGAAAACACGAGTCTGCACACGCGTCGATAGATATCTAAGTGGTTTTCGAACAACGAGGAATATATTTTTTTCTGGTTGGTGTCAATGGTGGCAATCCAAATTTTCTAAACGGCAATACAAAATACTTGAAAAAAAAAAAAACGGAGAACATCACAAGTTTTATTTTATGATTGTCCGCGACCGATTAAAAACGCTTTTTCAGACATTGCAAATCGCAACATTTCGGGTGCTACTTTAGTATAAGTACCAGAGCATTTTCCCTTAAGAATTCTTTGCTTTACTGCCTCCACATTGGTACGTACAGTAATGTAGCGCCGTAAGCGTTGTACGAACAGCCCATATTTGTCGAATTTACAAAAATACTAATCAAAACTAAATATAATCGGCACTTTACCACGCGTTTTTGTGTCCACGGATTGTCATAGTATTGCTTTTATTTCGTCAACACAACCGCAGTTAAAATGATCACAATTAAATTAAAAATAATAAAGCAAGGCGATGGATATGCCTTTTTGATTTACTAATATACTTTAAATATATTTTTAATATGTTCTAAATCAAGTTGAAATTTATAGCAAACAGTAGGATTTTTCGAACGGCGATAACGAATTCGCAAGATCGCTAAAAATACGTATCAAAACTAAATATATTCTCACATTATTATGTTAGCAGATTGCCGTGGCATTTTAAAGAAGTAATGCTCCCATATTGTCGTAAGTCGACGCAACGCGATTTACCATGAACACAATTAAATTAAAATAGAAAGACATTTTAAGCCCTCGTCGTTGTCATGGATTGAATATTGTGCGACAGAAAAGGCTATTATACACTAAAAAGTCGGCTCTTTTAAAGGACGCGTAATCGCGGCGAATTTCCGATTTTGAAATTCGTTAAAATTCTGTTGTGTTTGGTTTTATTACTTCTTCACACAGAGTACGGTTGCAATAAACGCACCTTGAGTCCGCAAAGGTTTTCGCCGATGAGAAAATGGCCCGCGACCAAAAAAGGTTGGAAAACACTGCTCTATACCCTAATCACCGATTCTGTACTACAACGACCAACCTGTTGTCCAATAAAAATCCCTGTCGACGGGAAAAGGTAATTCCCCCGCAATGCAAAGTTGGGTTCGTTACTTTTTGCAAAATCTTTCCACTTTTCAGATGTTCCTCAGGCTGTTCGTTTCGGGCCGATTTGTATTGTACTCGGTGTTTACTTAGCTTAGGTTAATATTTCAATATATCAGTTTAAAGGTGAATATTAAATTCACTTCATGTGTATGAAGAACGATTCATATCTGTGGGTTGTGTTGTCCAAAGTATATGGCAGCTAGGACTGGACAGATTTCCCATTGGATATGAATAGGATAGGATAAATACTGTATAGTACGCACAGTGGCTTAGCTACTTAAATAGCCCTTAGATACGCTACTTTTATATGACCTTTATAAATAAAGCTGATAGAATTCCAAGTGGACAAAATGTCAAAACATCATTTAATTGAAAAGAGAGCAATGGTCAAATATATGGACACAAATCTAAGTTATCGATAAGGTGAAGTTTCAGTACAGCACCAAGTTTGCTGGAAAGATTGGCAGACAAGTAATATGAGGCGGAAAATGTAATAAAATAAATTGTTCACATATTTTATAAAAAAAGTGTTCCCGACCATTGGGTGAAATTTTAAGCCCCAATAACACTCTGAATAAATATGAAAATTATAAAAGTAGCCTGCTTGCAACTTCAACTATTTTCAATAGTCGATTAAAGCAGGGGTGTGCTACGTGTGACCTGCGGGCCAAATGCAGCCCACAAGGAAAAATTTTGCGGATTGATGATACGTGCCAATTTTGAATTGTGTGCGGCCCACAGAAGAAATTCTAATTTACCGGTAGTTTAATCTGGTATGTGTGAGTAATCTCAATCCACTTGCGTTGCAAAGCCTATACCTGAGTCCAATTTTTATGTCATTACAATGCCCTAGCAGCTGGCTAGTGTGAAGCCAAAATTTTTGTTTGTGCAAGTACGGTACTTGGAAGCAAATGTTAAAAAAGATGCGGCCCACGGTTTCTTCCAGTTATTTGAATGTGGCCCTTCTGTATTAAAGGTTGCGCACTCATGAACTTGAAAGAATTTAAGTGATTGAAATTTCTGTTTTTTTTTTCTATAATTTTATCCGTATTCGAATAATTTATTATTTTAGCACTCTTCTTGGATTTCAAATAGTCTACTCAACTAGTTAAAAAAAAAAAAATTTTTAATTAGACGAATTTTGACAAGTTTTACTATACTTTATACTTATACTACTGGATACCTATTTTTTATGCAACAAATTCATACATCTTTTTCTTTGAACAAGTTTTGCACAAGCACCTTATTTCTTGTTTCAGCAATGCCTACCTAGTTTACTACATACAGCCTTGGCGAGGGGGAGGCCGTGGGATTTGAATCCAAGATTTTAACTTGTGATCCCAATATGGTAAAGTGTAACACCTATTACCATATTTCCTGGCTAATAAGCTGACTCGTTAAACAAGTTGAGGCTAATTTTTAGCACTAATAATAAAAATCAGAGATATTCCGAATTTGCAGTATAAAAACGCCAGCCTATTCATGAAAACTGAAGGGTAAGGCATGTTATCATCCTCTTTTTTCATTTTTTGGTCCATAACTGATAATAAATCGACTCCAGAAAAAATAGGATAAGCCAAGCCATCTAATAAGCCAAACCCTGAAAATTGGCCTATTAGCTGCCGGAAATATGATACATGGAATACTTACATAATCCATTTTATAATTTCATTTCCTGTTACCCATTTTACAGATGTAATAAGAGTTATGGAAAACAGAACAGTACATGTTACTGGTTTTCCTTCTTCGGTTAATAAAGTGAAATTAAAATTGTTTGTTGAAAACAACATAGGACCTAATATAATAGAAGATGTAGAGAAAAGAGCAGATGCTGCGGTGTTCATATTTAAACATCCTCGTGGTAATTGTTGTTTTTGAGTAATTTTTTATTATTAAGTAATAAATTTGAGTAATTATTTTAAAATTTGTTTAGAAGTTCTCTAATCTTGTTTTGTGAGTTCCCGATGTTTTTTATGATTCGTTCGTCATATTTTCACTTCATGAAAGGCTCTGGTTTAGCAGCCACTAATACATTGGAACATCATTTTCTATATTGACATTCTCTTCCAAAATTATTACACCATTACCGTAGTGGCGGACAAGAAATATGTTTGACATATTTACTAATCTGTGACACCAGAATAATGAGGCTTTTATTCACATTTCTGCATATTGATTTTTGATAGAAAAAATGTAATTTTAATTTCTAAAAATGTTTAATAAAACTCAAAACTGTGATGCCATGCAGGATAATCAGCATTACCATTGCAAGCATGCTTAGAACTTTCAGTACTGGTGAAAACAATCAAATCTTCCATTTTATCTTGCCTTATTTTCGACTGCTCATCTTAGTCTATGAATTATTTTGACGTTGGTTAGTGGGTATGCAGGTTAAAATCTCGAGGGAAATAATTATGATCAAAAAGATTGCTTGACTTCTCGCGGGCACAGTTTATCGCCTCCTCTACCATCAAAACTATGCTTCTAAAACAAATAGCTGGTTATCTATTCTTATACACGGCATGGACTGGTAACTGGAAGGGAGGCCATAGTTATTCATATGATTAAGGCATCTTATCTATTTATTATTTGCACCATATGTAACAATTTATTTGTTTCTAACATTTTTGATATTTATTTAGGTTTGCAAAAATTTCTTAATGCTGGTCTAAATGAATATACCTTTGGAAATGATAGTTACAAGCTTACAGTAATACAGCAACTTACAGAACAATATCCAAGATATGACACAGGTAGGCAGATCAAAAATATATTTATATTTCAGAAGTTAAAAAAACACACAGCATTAGCATGATTATACCAAATTTTGGGATTGAAATGCTGTAATAAGATAAAGTAAATAAATAATATTAAAACGACAACATACAGTAATACAGTATGGAAAGTTCTATATTTCATATGGGAATGGAAACACAGGACTCAAAAGTGCTCCATAGGAGTGCTAGATCTTCCCTTATAACTTGAATATAAATGAAAAAATATATGTACCCTGGGGCTCGTCAAAGATCGTGATAATTCACGAATGCGGTAAAATTGGGTGAAATTCTGGAATACCAATATTGCCAAGCGGGAAATATATATAAACTGTTAAAGTGTCAATCATTATTGTATTTTTTATACGGGGCTTATTTTTTTTGTTTTTTCGAACAAGGCCCGCCTTATACAAGGTGCCACGGATAAATAAAGACATAAAAGAAACTGCTGGTATTGGAATGAGCCAGGGCCTTTCTGGTTCGGCATTGATAATTTATTATATCCTTGGTCCATTGGCGGCATGACATTTGGTATCCAGGCTGGATAGCGACTGTCATAATGGCGACTTCATAATAGCGACGTGATCAAGTGAGCGACTCTCCAAACAGCGACTGTCATAATGGCGACTGCATTAAAACAGCGACTGTTATGATAGCAACTTAACTTTCGGTGCAGAAATGACAAAACAAAGTTAGGGTTAGAGTGTGGGGGATGGCAGGTGTATTGGGGGGGGGGGGCTGTTTTAATGCGGTCGCCATTATGACAGTCGCTCACTTGATTACGTCGCTATTATGAAGTCTCCATTCTGACAGTCGCTATTTGGAACCCGAGCCATGAGATTTGAATATAGGAGGAACGTCTCTTGGGTCTAATGGCTCAACTGCTAGTCCATCGCTCTCGCAAATTTATAACAGGAATGAAAGAATTTCAGGGATCAAAATTGTGCATTTAAAAGATTTAAGAATTCAATCAAGAGTGAATTGTGTTCTAGCATCAGTGTAATAAATTTATTCCAAACACAAATTTATATTATAATGATCACAGGACCCAGACATCAACAAAGGAATCAAAGATACGGTCCAAGAAATGAGGGTTTTAGAAATGAAAGACCTAACCAACCATATCGACAGAATCCAGGCTTTGAAAGAGGTAATGCAAGATATGGAGCAAGAGACGATGGTTATGTATACGCAAGAACTAATCAACCGTATCGACAGAATCCAGGATTCCAAAGAGGTGATCCAAGATATGGAGCAAGGGACAATAATTATGGAAACGAAAGAACTAATCAACCATATCGACAGAATCCAGGATTTGGAGGCAGGGACAATAATTATGGAAACGAGAGAACCGATAAACCATATCGACAGAATCCCGGATTTGGAGGCAGGGACAATAATTATGGAAACGATAGAACCGATCAACCATATCGACAGAATCCAGGATTTGGAGGCAGGGACAATAAATATGGAAACGAAAGAACCGATCAACCGCATAGACAGAATCCAAGATTTGACAGAGGCGATGCAGATCAATGGAGGAGAATTTTATATGTCACTCAGATACCACAGCATTTGTGCAATCATCTAGCTTTCAGTTCACATTTCGAAAGGTAGGACGCTTCTCAGTTTATGAACTTGAACTTTTTTGCACACATTATTTATCTTTGATAAATAAATAAGATTTTTATATTTGTCATGGCGGAGATGAAAGTTAATGAGAAAGCCTGATTATAAAGGTGACTATGGTCACTCATTTGGGTACCAATTTATATTGGGTATTGGAATAGTTAACCAGAAATTCATTTTAGAACCATAAAATATGAGGATAAATGCAAGATTACACTGAAAACCTTTGATCCTTATTTGTACACAAGATTTCATTTATTATTTTTTCTCAAGACAAGGTCACGAGAACTCACTCAGAAATCAAAGGTCATTTTTTCTAAGCAAAGCTACAGGCAAAGCTACCAAAAGCTTCTGACACTACATATTACCTCCCAGTACCACTCCTAGTCAGAAGATAAATTCATAAATCAAGTTTGAAAAATTTGTTCGTGTGTAACAATGGTTTTTTTTGTTTTGTTATTTCTGGTTTTTAAACCTCCACCTGTGTTCCACGCCAACCATACTGTGTCATCATTTTTTTAGGTTTGGACCTCTCGAACATTGCTTGTTCAAACCAAACAGGAGGAATCCTGGATTTCATGGATATGTAACATTTAGAAATCATGTGAGTAATATCTCTGTCTAAGGTGTTTCACATCTTTGCCAAAAACAAGGTTCCAAGCAAGCCATAAATAAGGATCTAGGCAAGGTGTGAATGTTATTCTCAGAGCTTCTGGGCTTTTGAGAGAAAAGGGCCAGCTTCATAGGAAATGAATATCACAGGGCCGCGGGCTGCACTTTTATTTATCATAGCCTTTCTAGTAGTTGCAGGCATGAAAAATCATTGTAACGTCATGAGCATAGATAATAAAATGGACGCTGGGTAAAGGGAATGGAATTACTCGCATGTACCAGAAACTAAATTTAAAACTTGATTCGTGGGCTATGCATCATTCAAAATAGTCTCTTCTCCGTGGGCCGCACAATTATTTCTTGGTGTACGCATTTGGACCGCAGGTTGCACACCCCTGGTTTTAGAATACTGGTATCTAATTGATGAATTTTGTTCAGAATGATGCTTGCCGAGCAAGGCATGAAGGAGTAAATGCTGGACCAATGAGTAATCTGAGTATACAATGGGCTGATAGTGAAGGTGATTAGATTGATAATTGTTTTCTAAATTAAGATTATTTTTATATTGCCACTGTAGAACCAAATAAGCTTGTGTCAAAATTTAGGTTTTGAGAAATTTGTATTTTTGTTATAATTCGGTTCCAAAATAAAAATGGACATAGGGCGTCACCTGCAATCAAACGTAAAACAGGTACAGCTTTGAAACTTATACCAAAAGATTGCCGCTTTTCCATTATGACAGAAATTCAAAAAAGCCACATTTTGGTTTTGAAAAAGTCACATGTTTATAATTTTGGTTTCAGCATCCAACTATAAAAATTAGCAATTACCTAAAATCAAAAGTGAAACAGGTACAGCTTTGCGTAGTATGCATATCAAGATGGCGGACACCAGAACGTAGTATGTGTACCAGGTTAGGGTTAGGCCATAATTTTATTCCAATTTACTATATTTCAGTTCTATTACGAGTTCAGGGACTAGCCAAGTGACTCCTGTAGTATTTATTCCTAAAATTATGGCCTAACCCTAACCTGGTACACATACTACATTCCGGTGTCAACCATCTTGGTACACATACTTCAGGAGTACCCAGTTTTGAATACTAGACCAAAATATTGGTGTTTATCCCTAATGACAGTAGATTAAAAAAGTCCATTTCTGAAAAATGTGACATAAGCTAATTTGGTTTTACTCTGGCGATTCCAAGTTTTATTATTATTGTTCTCTAAAAAAAGAGTCAGTTGTAGGACTTGTCAATGTTTAAGTTAAAATACTTTAAATTACATGTAAATTGAAATTAGTGAGAGTAGGCCAAAATCATTGCACAAATCATCTCATGATGCAGTGCTTTTGTTCCAAACAATGTAAACTGGTGGCCTTGGATTTTGAACCCAAGATTTGAAATCTATGATGCCAACTTATTTAAGCCCTATTAATTATTACTATAATTGATCACTATTCTTTCTCTTTTCTTATGCAGGTCCCAAACCTACCCCAAACTTTAATGAACCTGGTCCTGGGCCTCGACGCTCATCAGCCACTTCTGATGATAGCGGTTACTCAACACCAGGCAATCGTGGTCGAAGAAAAAGAAGGCCGAATGCTAACTCTGCTGGAATATCAAGAATGGGCAAAGCACCATCTATGCCAGACTTACGCCCTCCAACACCAAGTAGACCTTTGAATGAAGGCCCTCAACACGCTGTACTTGATCCGATTCAAGAAGAACTTTTCACTGAAACTCATTACTGGAATACATTAAAGAAGATGCCTGAAACTGAAGGATCTATGTGAGTCTTTATTAGAGATGTTATAATATGAAATTTGATTAAGGCAAAATTCAAATTTGATGCAAAAAAGATTTATACTGAAGGATTTAGAATATGAAAGTATTTGTTTTTCATTGAAAGTTTCAATTTTTGATGTGAAGGTAAAACATTGATTGGCAGATGACAAATTTTGATTTTAAAATAAGAAGTCAAATCCGAACCAGTCACAATGACCCGGATTCAGGCTTATTGTATTGCATAGTGATATATAACTGTACTCAAAATTCCAGTGTATGACATAATATTATTTTAAATTGAGTCTTCTTTTATTTTTGTTATACATAATTTAGGTTTCACTTTCATGGCATATCCTAATACGAAATCAAATATGGGTAGCATATGGCAGCATATTTACTTATACTGGTTGTTCATAAAGTCACATTATATATCTTAGTCATATTTGTTTCATTCTAAAATATTTTACTTCATTTAATACACCTTTAGGGGCCAATAAACTATACATAGTATCTATAAATGAACAGTATAAATGAATCTAAAATATTTTATAAAATTATGGAATTCGAATAAGCATTTGTAAAATTTCCCGATAATGATACTATAGTTTCACAAGAGTCTTTATTTGCCAAACTATCTTATGACTCATGTATAAATACAGTTTATTCAAACATAAATCAGCTGGTTTTGTTTACTGTGTGATAACAGCAAGCATAGCCAGCGTTGTGTGTTTGTTCATTACACTGAGTCTTTGTTTAACACCCACGCTTCAGAAATAATTAATAGAACTCAATACTTTATGTCTAGCAAATGAAGGATTAATATTTTTATATCTCGCTTATTCAGGTCTTTTGCTCTGAATAAAGAATTAATTAAACAGCCACTGACTGTTATCTAACAATCTTCTATTTTTTGAAACAAATCATCTTTTCATTTTCGGCATTTTTCACCCAATTTATCACACCGTGGGTGAGGCTGGAACATGGAATTTGAAAATTTAAATTGGGATGTGTAATCTGCTATGCAAAAACATTTGAGTCTATAACCGCTGGGGTATCACACCCTATTTTATGTTTTGTCATGTGTCCCTGAAATCTCTATACCTTTGTTTGTGGTTATTTGTGTATATATAATGTTGCCTTTTGTGTTGGCCAGTGAGTCAAAATTATCAGTAACCATGCCAAATCTATTTGAATCTGTATAACTGAGCCATAACAATGGAATGAATATTTGAAAAAACCACATTACATGAAAATTCAATTTGAATGAGGAAACGTCCAAAGTGATCTTTTATTTATTACTGAGTAGTACTAGGCAGAATATATAAAACTAAATTTTCCATTTTGAACAAATTATTTGATGGTTTATGCTTGATATGGGTAAATTACTATTTGATAAAATGTAATTGTTTATTTATTACATTATTCAATTTAATTTCAATAAATATTCAAAAGGCCCTGCTGTAAAATTTACAAATTTATGTTATAAACTTTTTTTTTTTGAGTTTTGTCTCATCGAATTTGTCTCGAATTTCCCTCTTGTTTTAGTCGTGACACTAGTGACATCTTGATATGTAATCGAAATTAACTTACATTCTAATATATGGTAAATAAAAACATTAGGACGTAACATATTAAGATACGAAAGAATAAGAAATCCCAGATGTGCAGAATTCTGGGAGATAAATATATTTTTATATACGATGTATTTATATGCTCTGTATAACCAGCCACTGCTTGGTATGAGAGCAAGGGAGAAAAAGCAAGACAAAGGATAAAGTTTTTTTTTACAGTATTTGAATGACTTTTGTTCTGAAGAAGTCTTTGAACAAGCAGCCACTGATAGTTAACGAACTATTGTAGTTTGGAAGAACCAGAATCATTCCAGTTTGGCATTGCCTACCCAATTTATCGTACAGTGAATGGGTTGGTCGCGGTGGGATTTAAACTCTCGATTTTTTTAATCTACGATGCCAACATAGTTAATGCAAATGCTTCAACCACAGAGCCATATTGTTCATAGATATAATTTTTTATCTCTTATCTCCTCTATTATCTATTTCACAGATGTGTTCTTGCTCAAAACATTGATCCATCAAAGCACATTGATACAGTGAAAATGCATTTTGAAAATAAGAAACGTTCGAACGGCGGGCCTGTGAAAAGTGTTATCAGAATGATTGATGGATTGCTCATTGTATTTGAGAGTAAAGAAGGTATGTTGATAATTGTGAAATAGAAATATTTATATTTGAAAATATCTTTGCAGCACTTATTATTTTATGATAGACAATAAAATAGTTACTGTATATTCTCACATATACGCCGATCGAGCATATAAGCCGGCTCTCTGAAACCGGTCTTAAAACGACGATTTTATAAAAATTCGCATATAAGCAGACCCTACGAATCTTACCACGTCGTACACACCTATCACAGTCAGGATATCAAATTGTAAAAAAAATAGTTAACTTCTGACAGAATAAAATAGCGAATACTAATTTTAAGAATGTTTATCTAAATTTTTCTGTAATTTTAGTTTTTTACGAATTTACAACAGTCAGACAAGCCCAATAAGACAGTCTAATCATGTGGTGAACCACGGCCTCTTATCCAGTTACCAATCCTTGTCAGGTGTAGGAATAATTTCACTGTTTTTTTTTTCAGATACATAAAGTTAAAGTCTGTTATATTCTTTCAATTTTTTTTTTATCTTGTTTCAGATTGTGAGTCATGTTCAGGAAAACAAGATCAAAAGTTTGATGGAAAAGACATCTCTATATTTCCTAAATCAATTCCTTCATATTTTGAGCAAACCTTTATCATTGAGGTAACACTATTTTGAATCATCAGATTTACGGTATATGTATTTCTGTTTTGAGATTTTTACACTTATCCCAGGGGGAGGGGAGAGAGGAAAAGATTGCTTAATCATATGGCTTACCACAGCTTCTCGTCCAGTCAGCAGTTGAGTGTCGAATTTGGTTAGCCAGTCATTTCAGATGCATGGACAGGATATTGGAAAAAGCCAACGCAAAAAGCCAGCGGTTACTCGAACCACCCTACAACAACAAGGAGTAGTCCTGTTGCACATAATTATCCCCTGTGGGATGCAAACTCGCACAGGGTCATCAGAAGTGTTATAGAAATCTTATTCCTATACCCCTAAGTATCACATTGCACCCCATTCAATGTTCTAAATACTAGAACACAATTTCTACAAAGTACTATTTAGTGGAATGTTTTTATGACTTTTTTCTTATCGCAACTATGCTTATTTCAATTATCCTGCTATACCAAATTCAATACTTCTTTTGAACATGGCCCAACCAACACTGATCTTTGACCCCAGATGAACTATTCTTCTACTTTACCATTTCACAAAATTTTTTGATTCTCATTTTGAAAGTGTTATAGTGAGTTGGGGCTTACAAACTGCTTTATATGCTTCATAACTAATATTTTGATTCAAATTATTTCATTTCAAAGTTCCAATTCTAGCCTAATCTTTCGCAGGTTTTCTGAGACTAATTCTTGATTACCCCTACTACACTTAAAATCCTTAGCCGACAAATTGACCAATGAGTTATGTAATTCATATCAAAATTTCAAAACAGATACAGTAATACAAAATAATATTAAATTATACACGACTCTCATTAAAGTTTTCCATTCATACTATTTACAGGGAGTTGGAGAAGCAACAACACAAGATACTTTGACAATGTACCTTGAAACTAGCTCTACTAATGAAGCGTCGCCTGTATCTTTGAAAAAACAAGATATACAGGGCGTTTATCTCGTAGAATATGGAGATGATTTTGGTGGGTTCAGATTCTCATTTTCAATAAAAATTCACCACATTTTTCGGCAAAAACAAAATAAAATGTTGGCCTAACCCTAACCTGGTACACATACTAGGGGAGTACCTATTTTTCTTGCTATACCTGGTTATGAATATATAGAATAGAATTTTACTATATAGTCCATATCGTTAAATATTATGTAGGCTATTATTTGGGGATAGGATTTTCATATTTATACTTAATTATACAACCTTCTCATTAGCTTACAATTTAGGTCGGGTTCGAGAATAGTTAACCAATTCTTCCAGTTATTCAAGGAGTTTACCATTTCAGAAATACATTTTTGGGTACTTCTGTAGTATGTGTACCATGTTAGGATTAGGCCGTAATTTTATTCTGATTTTCCTTATTGTAGTTCTATTACGAGTTTGGGGACTGTCTGTGTTAGCTAATTGAATATACCCCCTTCCTATAGGCTTCTGTTCATTTACAAATCTTGATGAAAAGTAGGCGAAAAAAATTACTTACCACCATATTGGTACATATATTTCTGGAGCGCCCATTTTTGAGTGACACCTTGTGAGTCTGGAAAATTTGCGCACTCAGAATATTTTTTAAAACAGCTAAAATCCAGAAAAAGTACAATATTTTTTGCATTCCTGAGAAATACCCAAATTCCTTTACACCTAATACTTATTATAACTTTCATACAGATATCAGTGAAAGAGATTCATTTTTGGAAAAAATTAGGAAGAAAACTTTGGAAGACCGGACTTTGAAAGTAAGCTGAAGTTCTTGTATCAATTATTGTTTTATTGATACTGGTATCAAACGATTTTGTTCAGTATGACTACAGTTGATATGGTAACCAGTAAGCAAGTGTTCCATTTGCAATGATTGTGAAAGTCGTACAAACCACTTTCCAGCAATCCTTCTCACGAAATCATCAAGCATAGGATCCAAAGCAGCGAGCCAGCATGTGAAAATAATGTACCACATACTCAAATGGTATATACTAGTGACTCAAACTAATCTCAAATCATAGTCAATTTACTTTAAATCAATGTAGTCATTACAAATGGTTCCTAGTCATTGCTAGTAGCGCCCAGATAATTACTCTTTGTCGCCACAGTGGGGCCAAGGTCCCAGTTTAAGAAACTTTGGTCTGTGCAGTGGCTGAAATATTCCTAAATTTGAACTTTCTTTTATTCCGTGCTTCTTTGCCATTACATTTTTCAGGCTTCAAGGCTTTTAAGAACTGATTGCCTAAAAGCATCAGGAATTCCAGATTCAGTAACAAATGATACAATCAGACTTACGTTTGAGAGTAAGAAAAGAACTGATGGTGGGCCTGTGACAAGAATTGATAGAATTGAAAATCAAATTACTTTGGTCTACTTTGCATCCTATATTGGTAAGTATTGAAATTTAGTGCATCATACTTTTTTCCAATTACCAGATTCGGTATAGGAATAGTTTTTTTCCCATTTTTTTTTCGAGAAGAATTTGCTAAAACCGCAGTCAGATGTGCTCATTCAAAACTAGAAGAGACTGATCTCAGAGTAAAGTTATGGATGGCCACTAAAATGATACATGCAAGACTTTTATCCAGTTGGTAAGGTTTTTTCTCCAAGAGAATTTGCTAAAACCACAGTCCGGTGTACCCATTCAGAACTAGGGGAGACTGATCTCTGAGCAAAGTCACAGGCAGCCATTAAAATGACCATAGCTACTGAAACTGTTACTAATAACAAATATCTACCACACCCTAAAATTGACCCCCCCCCCCCCCAGTAACTTGAAAAGCTGGGGAACATCATACTGTCGCCAACTATGGGGTTTTACAAATACTAATTTTTTTATTCACTATAACATTAGCCGCCACTTGAAAGCGGAACATGAATGAAAGCACCAATAAATATGACTCAATTGAAAGCATATCAAGTATGACTCAGCAGGTAGAACGGTACTAAGTATGTGTACCAGGTTAGGGTTAGGTCATAATTTAATTCCGATTTTCCTTATTTTAGTTCTATCGCGAGTTCGGGGACTGTCTGTGTTAGCCAAGTGAATATATCCCCTGCCTATAGGTTTCAGTCCCTTTACACAACTTGATGTAAAGTAAGCGAACAAAATTAGTTACCTCCATATTGGTACACATACCGGTACTTCTAGAGCGCCGGTAAAACACTGTTGTCACTGTCATTACACAGACACAACAAAGTTGAAAATAAACTGAATTATGCCAATATAAATGACCAGTGACCACAATTACTACATTCATTCTACAGTCGCCAATTTTGACAAAAAAATTAAAATTTCTGTTAAACTCTTTAGATACTGCTCGAGTGTGTAGAAGATTCAAAAAACCTAGTTCTGAATCAATTATTATTGGTCAACATCCTGTTGAAGTTGAATTATATTTTCATTCACTCTCAAATCTACATAAAAGTGTTGAAAAAAGTGAAAACGGGAAAAATCTACGAAAAGGTGGCAAAAAAGGTAAAAAATAAGATTGGATTTTTTATGTTTATTTATTTTGTTTGAGAGGCGAAAGACAGTGAAGTGGCTTAATCATATGGCAGACTGAGAGGAAAGAGGGGTAAGCTGGCTCTCATCCAGTTACCAATCTATGTCGGGTATGGTAATAGGTAATCAGTTATTCATTTATCTGTGTGGGCTTCATGGTGGAGGAAGTCATAATTGACCAGCAGTTACATGAACCATCTCACGAAGGTGAGAAGTCTAGCAATCCTATTGTCCATAATTGTTTCTCATGGTACTTTGCCTTCACATCCCCTTTAAACATTTAGAATAATGCACCAAACATCAAGTTTCATTATATATTTTCTTCAATGTCCATAGACTACAGATGATCCCCATCGGTACTTTCTTTTTTATAACTTTTGTTAGAAACAAGACCCTTTCTGCCCAATGCATTATACCTTCGGTTAGTTGGTGATCATGGGAGTAACCTGCGATGCCAACACATCTTAGTTTGTCGCTTCAACTTCTATGCCCATAATATTTTCCCGAAGCATGACTTTTTAATATTCACCCATTCATTCCTTTTCATTTCAATTCAGATCCACCCAAGCCCATCCCAAGACCTCGAAAAAATGGAACACTGAACTCTTACATTTACAAACCTGAATGTCATGAAAAAGTTTTCTTTTTCATCCGACAAACTCAGGTTGACAAGATGAGAAACATTTTCAAAGATTTGGCAAATGTTGAATTGTATTATTCTGTAAAAAAGGGAAAATCTGTTAAGTTTGTTCCAGAAAAGGTATTTATTGTTTTATTTTTGATTTTTAAGACATTAAAAGTTCTGTACAAGTAGCTACTGGTGTGTAAAGGGCTACTACTATTTTGGAAAAGAGCAGAATGTTTCCAATTCCCTCCCAACCCGATTTATTACATAATCTTGTGTGAGATTGTTGGCTTGAATTTCAAATAAGAGACCTTAATTTGCAATGCTATTAAAGTTATTAAGTCCAGACCACTACTCGGTCATCTGCTGCCTATTATTCAAACTAGATATGAGAAAATACACATATACTTTTGCGAGAATTTGACTCAGACTTGAATCTTAAACTTATACCAACAACTTTTCAGATGACCAGAAAAAGTTTCCAAGCCTGTTTATATCTAAGTTTAATTCGATCAGAATGTCCTGAATTTGTATTTGAATTTTGTTTTATACCTCTAGATCGGTGATATTAACATCAAATATAGACAATCAGCCACTGCTTTTCATTATTTATTCAAGCATCAATCCTCTTTTAGTGCCACTCTTTATTTGTTTGAGTCATTAATTTCAGTCATCAGTTTGACTCATAATATGACGTCATTGAATCATCCATTTTTGGTCAGTCTGTTTTGATTGGTCATTTAAGGTAAATATGGTCATTTTTCTTTTTACAGGATCCGGGCATGAACACCCAAGATGGATTCGATGCCAAATGCAAAACAAGATTTGGTGATTTCATTACCAAGTTTTCAACTTTGACTCAAACATTTGACAAAGAGAAATTAAGCAAAGCTAGATCACTCAATGTTTGTCCGTATTTGAGTAAATCAGAAACTAAGAATGATATCAACATCAGGTTAGTGGTCATTTGACTTTTCTGTTTAAGACATTAATTGGAATATTTTTATTTAAAAAAACCTAAAATTACAATGACGTAGTGATACGGTAAACCAGGTTTTCATTGGATTAATGTTTATTCTTTGTATCGAAATTCGAATTCACCCTGTAGACAAGGGGCCACTAAACAATTTTGATCATACAAAAATCATTTTGGTGTGACCTTTGCCTCCCAATTTATTGCAAACCGGATGGCTTCAAAGCTTCAACTTTAAGATAACTCCAATACTTCAATTACTAGCCAGGGTTGTTCAAACTAGACTCTCAGCCCCCTAGTGAGGCATAGAGCAGTGGGCCCACAAGCAATTCATGGTGACAACCTTAATTCAAAGTAAATTGAAGCCAATTTGTTCAACTTTTAAACTGTGATGCATTCATTTTTTTTTACTTTTGTTGATATCTTTTTATCATTAAACATACAACAAAAGCAAAATTTGGGGCCAAGAATGTTGATTATTTGGAAGGAGATCACAAGACATGGATGTTTAAGAACTGTACTAGACCATCTCGCACACATGTGATAATTTTATATACAAACAGGGTGATAATCAATATTGTGAGCAAGTTCATAGTAGATGACATAATGAATTATCGTTTTTAAATACCTATTTTATTTGTGACTAAATTCTTGTTTTCATGTCTTCAATTTAATAGATGGCTACTCTATCAACCAACAGTAACTGTAACAGGATTAAAAGATTCTGTTGATAAAATAATGAATGAAATTGAAACTTCCATCAATTCAACTGTTGCTGAAATGTCAGTTAATGAAGAACAATTCAGGTGAATATTTGTTTTAGTTGAATGTTCATTTGCGGCGTACATTTTTATGGATGTTTGCTCCATGCTGACATGTGTTTGGATTATGCCACTGAGTAAAATCAAACACATACAATTTGTGTGAAAGTTTGTTAAAAGTGAGATAAAAGTGATGAATTTTGGATGTCTTACTTAATAGACTCCAATTCCATACTTTGATTATCAAAACTACGACTATGGTAACTTGTTTTATTTTCAAACCTTGACTGCCTTAGATTAGGGAGTTCAATCCATTTGACACATTATGCTGCTTTATTGACAGAATTCCTACAAACTGTGGAATCTTCTCTGAGCTTCAAGTAAAGCTCAACAAAATGCAATTAAAACAAGATGATAAAAACCACAGTGTGACATTGCAAGGAACTGAAGCTGATGTTTCGAAGATTCAGATTGATGCTTTGACTGTATTAAATGTTGGTCATGAATTTTTTTATTATTTGTTAGGGTAGCATAACATAATTTCCACAAATCGGTGCGGCGAAAGCATGCAAGATTACTAAAGTTAATACACCATAATCTGAGTAGGTTTAAATTTGGTTGAAGTAGACATAGCTACCATTGAAATTATTCACTAGGAGGGAATCTATATCAAACCAGTACTGTGGGCAAAGCACTTCTCCCTGGTGCCTTGACATGATGCTCTGTGGACCTCCAGCTATCTTACCTGTTCTATCCTGGACAACATTAAATGTAAAAAGTTGCTAATTATATACAAGTGTTTGATTGTGAAAATAAGATGTTCATCATATTTGTATCGTCTATTCTGGCAGGTTTGAATCTTGTGTAAGATCAATATTAGCAAGATCATTGCTGAAAATAGCATTTCTGTAAGATCAAGAATATTTGAGTTTATACCTATGAAACAAATCGCTTAGCTTTTCCCATACACAACATGTACTGGTATCCAGGCAAAAGACAAAGATTAGGATGGTATATTGGTAACTGTCTTCCCATCCCCTGGGTAATTTATTAAAAAAACGTATATTATTGTTATATTGTATATAAACTGGTATCAAGAAAATAGTGATTGGATTCTCATACAAATTCTTTTCAGGTTTCAGGATGAATATCCATTCCAATTCTTTTCCCAACATTCAATTCATTGATGAATTCCTTATTTCATAACAGACTGTCGAAAAAAGAAAATTATCAGATGTAGATGATAGCATAGTTAGATATTTATTGGAATCATCATCTCAGTCTAACATCATCATATCAAAAATACAAGACAAATTGAAGATCGATAACATTAAAGGCAAGACTAACTACTTATCCTTCAAATAATATTAGTACATGTCGAATAAAGTTGTATACTCCTGTTATATAAGATTATTCTCCGTAAATTAATTCAGATAAAGCAAAATAAAATTGAACAAATTTGGTTTAAATATCGTGTCGCAAACGTTAGCGAACACTTGCCACCGCCCCTCTGATTAGCCTATGTTAGTTCAAATCCCATGTGGGATAATTAGGAGCTAGCAGGTGTTGTCTTATCGACTTTGCCCTCTTCTGAAATAAATATTAAAATCACAATATGATTTCAAGCAACTAAATTACTTACAGCTTCTCTTGAAATTGATGATGACGAGCCTTGTTTGGGAGTTCGGTCAAATGACGATTCCCAAAAAGCCATTCGTATTATTAAAGAAATGATCGCCACAGAAACAATTAAAACAGACCAATCAGGATCAAGTCTGGTGAAAACTCCTACATGGAAAGGATTTCAACAAAATTCTAAAAAAACCGAAATATACAGACTTAATAAAAAAGTAGGAGAAAAATACACTGTTTGAAAATGTGTATTAAATAGATAGGATTTAAATATCTATTTCTGGGGGAAAAATTGTGAATAAGATGGCTTAATTATATGGCCTCAACGCTGTGTAAGGTGGTTCGGCTGGTCGGTTACGACTTCCTCCATCATTAAGTCTATGCACCTAAAAGTAAATAAATGGCTAACTAATTCCAGACCAGACATGGACTGGTGACCGGACAAGAGATCGTGGTTCATCATATGATTAAGTAAGTTGTCTCACCAGCTTCCCTGGGATAAATATGTAAATTCTATCCCGTTTTTAAGGCCACATCAGAAGCCATCACTAGGTGTCATTCTTAATCACTACATAAATTAACGGTGATTATTATACCATAATGCATTTATTCTTCCACTGTCATTTATTGGTCTATTTTTGTTAACGTATTTGAAAAAATAACCGATTGGAGCCAGTAGAAAACAAAATTACCGGTAGGTATTTTAATTGCAATTGTAATCTTTGGGAACAGGCCACAAATGCTGAAAGCTTGAGAACAAGTGACCCAAAATTACAACTAAAATGATTTTTATGTTCTTTTTTCAGCCAAATCAAAGTCACATATTAGTATCAGAACTCTCAGAATTAAGACTTTCGAAAAAGAAAATGAACTCATTCCTGGATGAAAATTCTATCAAGTGTATTTACATTTCAATGAAGTACGGAGAAGCAAAATTTATTGTGGAAAGATCTGGAGAATTTTCTTTTAAGAAATGTAAACAGAAATCAATAAAATGTAGTTTGACTCCTGAAAATGGAGGTGGATTATGCATTGAAGGAAAAAGCGAACCTCTTGAAGATGGTGAGGTTTATTGCGGGGGGGAAATAGAGGATTTTAAATGATGGTGATGGCCAGGTGGTGTAATAAATTGGATGGGCAATGCGGAACTGCTAATATTCTGATTCTTCTAAGTAATAGCAGCCTAATAAAATAATGGAATTTAAAGTGATAATTCGACTTAATCATATGGCAAACCACGCCCTCACTTCTGGTTACCAGTCCATGTCTGGTATGGGATTAGTTAGCCAGTTATTTGTTTTCAGATACATGGACTTGATGTGGAGGAAGCTGTAACCAACCAGCAGTTACATGAACCACCCTTCGGCGGTGAGGTGTCTAGCAATCCTCAGGCACATAATTATTCTCTCGTGGGATTTGAACTTGCAAATCCACGCAGGGTAATCAGAGGTGCAGTGGTGAGCGTATTTCTACGCTTAGCATGATGTGCACACCACAAAGTCCTTGTTCACATATCGTCAGATTCAGATATTAGTGACTGCATGTAACGCCCTTGTTCGTGGCAAAAGGTGTGAATAAGAGTCATAGAAAAAAACTACGCATACTCATGGGGTTCCCCCCTTATTTGTTCAGACGCATGGACTCGATGATGGAGAACCCGTTACTGACCAGTGGTTCGTGATAAGAAGTCTGGCAATTCTTTCGCAAATAATTATACCTTTTAGGTTTCAAGAGTTGTGATGACAAGCATATTCCTGATGCTTGGCGTGATGCAGCATGTGTCAAGGCATATTATTAGGCTTCTTCTCAACTTTCTATTCCACTAGAATAAATATAAAAAAATCTCATTGCGCTATTTTAACTTGATGTCTGATATGTTTACAGCACATGCGGCACTAAGTCTTCTTCAAAATCGAGTAATTGAACAGACAACCAATCTAAATATCGCTGGGATCAAGGAATATTATCAAACTGGAGGCGGGAAAAAGTTTTTATCAACAACTGGAAAAATTCACAATTGTATCATTTTAATGTCTCCATTCTGTGAGGAATGGGTTAAATTCAACCCAGAGGCCAGGCAGCAAGCTCCTGTTCCAATACCGAGAAGATGGAGGCCTTCTTCTTCAGTGAGTGTAAACATTTGTTTTGTCTATCTATAGTTAATCAGCGATGGCAATTTATCCAGATACTAGTACTTCTATCTGTAAACAATCTGTAAATTATCATCCATAACCTTGGGAAGACCAGCAAACAACCTCATTTACCAAAAGATATTTTTCTTCTGGCTGTAAGCGGTGACATGCACCTCACTACAACTTCTGTAAGATTCAAATCTGCAGGCTCAGAATGGGTACTCGATAATGAGAACACATACCTGGTACAATGCCTATTACAAAGTTTCAAAAATTGATTATTTAACTCTACTTAGCTTACACTTTTATTATCTTTTCATGTAGGATACAAGGGCACAACAATTGACTTCTGTGACCTTGGCAAATTCATCAGTAACCTTGACTGTTTGAAAAGTTCCACTAAAAACCAAGATTCTATATTAAAAAATGTGTATTGTTTATATATAACCAAACACTTATTAAGTTTGCTGCTATTTTTAACTTGTTACACTTTAAAGATCATTTGTTTTTTTACTATTATTAGGTTTGCTTTTACATATATATATATATATTAAACAATTCAGACAAGAAAAGACAATTTCACTATTGTACTAGAGGTTCCTTGAGCTTTTATATGTTTCATTGGAGTTCCACTCCACCAAAAAGATTGAAAACCACTGCTAAAACGAACTATAGTGTGAAATTACATGTTAGTAAAACTGGACTCAATTCAATATAAACTGTTTTTTTTACAGGCATTTACAACCGAATTCAACAAGCAATCACCTTCTGCTGCTTCTTCATTGTATTCCAATCCACCCACTACCTCAAGCACTTCTCTTCATCAGAAAATAAATTCATCTTCAGCCAAATTTGGCTCTGTTGTTGTGTCAGTTTATCAAGGAGACATAACAACTCAGAATTGTGATGTTATCGTCAACAGCGTACATTCAGGCTTTGACCTTACTAAAGGTGGGGGTTGAAGATTTTTTATACAGATTATCTGAATAATGATTGCTCTGCTACTGTAGATTGGAAGGACCAGAATCTTTTCAGTTCAGCATTGTCCACTCGAAGTTTTACACTCTTTGCACCTAATATCTTGGATTAGCGATTGTCCAACATTGTTAAGTCTAACTATGTGCCTATTGTGTCATTGTTTGTGTGTAGTTATGGTATTACCAAGCTCCTTGTGTTTCCTACTTAATATAAATTCTTTGGGTGGTGTGCATAGGATTTTAACCCAAAACCTTTGACTAATAACAACATTGTTATCTAGTCTAACGGCTCAGGTTCCAAATGGCGACTTCATAATAGCGACGTAATCAAGTGAGTCACTGTCAAAACAGCGACTGACATGATGGCGACCGCATTAAAAGAGCGACTGTTATGATAGCGTTAGGGTTGGGGTTGGTCCAAATAAAATGCTGTTTTAAAGTCCCTTTGGGTTTCAATCTTTCACTACGCAGTGTTTGCCTGTTTGTGAGTGCATACGTGGGTAGAGAGGTCCCTAACCCAAAAACGAGTTAAATCGCTATTATAACAGTCGCTGTTTTAATGCGGTCGCCATTATGACAGTCGCTGCGGTTTCAACACAGAAGAACGAATGTTGAAATTTTAAACCATTTTCGCAAAGAAATAAATGCTCCTAAGCTGGTTTTCTAATTGAAGTATGAAGCTATATTATTCAAAGTATTTCAATAAAAAACTACGAGAGTTTATAAATGAAAAATACATGTTGTTTTTGACTACACAAATCAGCCTTTCAAATATCACTCTTTTTGGTTAATAGGTAGAATAGGATTTTCATATTTACCCTGAGGAAAGAAAACTAATTTAATGGCTCAATCATATGGCATACAATGGCCTCTCATCTGGTTTCTCGTCAATACCAGCTATGGGATTAGTTAGCCAATAATTCGTTTCAGATGCATGGACTTGATGGCGGAAGACACCGAAACCGACCAGCAGTTGGTGAGGAGTCCAGCAATGCTCTCGCATATAATTATTCCTCATGAAACTCGAACTTGTGTAACGTAATCAGAGTATTACAAAACCTAATGAGTTTTATTGCAGACAAGAATTTATCCTTTCTAGGAATGATTTCATCTAAAATCTTACAAATGGGCGGCCAACAAATTCAAACAGAAGCTTCTACTGGAAAAGGGTATTACGTGATAACTTCGGGTGGAAACTTACCTTGCGGACGTATCATACACTTGGTGGTACCAACTGATGTCAAAGATCTTGTGAAGAAACTCGTTGAGATTTTTGATGCTGTGGAGAAATGCCAACTTTCTTCTGTTTGCATTCCTGCTTTAGGAACAGGTAAGTTAATAAGTGTATAATGAATGCATGGGTTGAGTACTCTTTCAGCGCTATATTTAGATATTCTGAATGGAATTGTAGTAATACTTTGAACTCATAGGATTTACATTTTACATATTTATCCCAGGGATAAGATGGCTCAATCATATGGCAAACCTCGCCTCTCGTCTGGTTACCATTCCATGTCGGGTATGGGATTAGTTAGTTATTTGTTTGAGGAAGCATGGACTTGATAGTGAAGAAAGCCGTAACCGACCAGCAGTTATGTGAGCACAGAGTAATCAGAGGTGTGGTGGCGAGCGTATTCCTGGTATTAAAATAACATTCCTGTTTAAAATAATTTACCAACGGTCATTTCGTTTTTATTTAGGAAAGCTCAAAATGGATAGCGCAACAGTTAGTTCAGTGATGCGAGCATCCATTGAAAAATTTGTTCAATCAAATCCGAGATATCTCCAACAAATAAACATTGTGATTTATGATCAAATTATGCTGCAAAATTTTATCGATGCAATTGTAAATGACAGCACGAAGAAAAAGGGCTCTTTGACAAGAATGGGCTTATATGGAAGTAAGTGATGACTTTTTTTTTTTTATTACTTCAATGTTGTATCCATTTGATGCGTTAGGACATTAAAGAGTTCCATCATACCAATCTAGGGTTCTGCGATTTACATTTAAGTATGACAGTTGATACCAATATATTTATAATACCTTTGGTTTGCCAATATTATTAGACTTTAAAGTTTGTTTTGTTTCACCCTTATCAGGTTATTTTATATATATTTATGGTTTATATCATGGGTGCAACATTTTTGTCAGTGGGCCATATAACTAACAGATATCTAGCTGGGTCACACAAAAAATTCAGCAGGAAAGAGGATACGGCTACCGATTAGCCTTACAGTAAAAAATGCACTGGGCTAAATGGTAAAAGATTTGAAGCAGAAACAAGAGCAAAAAACATTATGTATTTTTACCCATGTGAGTGCTGGTTTAAACTTAAACCATCAGATTTTATGATTTTATGCCTAATGAGGAAAATTATATTAGTTTAATTGGTGTTCAGCTTCTCCAAAAATGTTAAAATCATTGTTCTAACCAATAAAAAGTCACATCTTACTATTTGTGGATTTCTGACTCTGAATAAACCCATCTAGGTTTCTTTTCAGCATTTTCAGGTTATTATACATCTTCATCATCAGCACCATCAGAAGCCAAAGGTTGGTTTCCTCCTAAGCAGCAACAACATAAAGATGATTTCTTAAATTTATACTTTTATTCAACCAGTGAAACAAAGATACAGCAGGTTGGTTCATTGTTCTATGATTTCCTTCATTGGTAGTAAGTACCTTTGGACAATTTATAAATTTGCTGTGTACTCCCAAATCCGCTGATATGTCTTGAGTGCAGTGATTGGACAAAATGAATCATGTGATCTATGATTATAGACGTGGTAGTTACTGCAGTTGTAATTGAAGACTGAAGCTTCTACCAGGCTGAAGATTTGACCTCGTAGAGAATTCTCAAACTCAGGTCTTCGAATTATTAAAATCAGTTGATCAAAAATATTTCGAGGCAAGTTGGAAGTTATAGAAAAAATATCCTTATACTTAATCGAATGTACCCCTTGGAAAATCGAACTGTACCTCTGGGGGTACATGTTTGTGAACCCCTTTGCTATGCATTAAAAAATGTTGATTGTTCTGTTTGAGGAACACATGGTTGCATCTTGGAGGAGGGGGGGGGGTGTAATTAACCATGAGAGGATTATTCTCCTCATCTACACAGCCTGGTTCATGTTAATACACGAGTGTCTAATACGGTTTTTAAATCTGCTTTCTTCGGAAGCAACAAGGCAGTTCTTTGCAGGCCACTGGCAAAATTCTTGTGGATTCTTAGGATGCCACTATGCCATCACGTTTATTTTTATGTAGAAGTAAATAAACTACATTATTTATGACTTATTTCAGGCTATTAAGAGTGTCACTGAGGAAACAAACAAGGGATTAATGACAATGCAATTGGTAGACTATCGTCATGGGAACTATTTGAAATAAATGAGGTTGCCAAGAGAAACAAGGTCACTATTTCAGATGAGTCAAACATGTGAGTGTACTGATATTAGATAGGATTTGTGTATTCATCCCAGGAATTAATAAAGTTGAAAGGATAGCGTAATCATATGCCTAACCATGCCCGTTCGTTCAGTTCCCAGTTGATTTCGCGTTTGGGAACAGTTTATCAGTTATTTGTTTTAGACTTGATGGAAGGTTGAGGGAATCTTTGTAGGGAATAACCATGTTTTTTCATACGAGCAAGATCTTAGATAAATAGATGTTTATTTTGATAACACCGTAATACACAAAATATTGTGTGCCCACTTCCTAGCACACTTGAAGAATTAAGCAAAATAAACAAACATATATACAAGGTTTTGATCGAAAATAAACATACAAAAATAATGGAAATGTTTCGGGCTGTTGTAATTTACACTTGTGTCGCCTAGATGTCTGGTTTACATAGTGATCAATTTTTTGTTTCATCTAGAGTTCTAGACTGAGGGTAGGCCAGTGGTTCTCAAACGATGAGGCACGCCCTACGAGAAGGGTGTAGAAAATTTTTTGAGAGGGGGTGAATCCAATATTTCTTGAATTTGATTTTGCCCAAATTTCACTTGTTTTTAAAATATTTTATTTATTCCATTATTTACGTTCCATCCACATATTTTCAAAGTGTTTTTTGAATAAAATATACTTTCGCCTTACTATCTAATATTTGTAGCTTATTATTACCTATTTATTTTTGATTTGTTTTATCAATTGACAAATACTGAAAAGGTGACGCAGATTAAAAAGTTTGGGAACCACTGGTTTAGACCACAATGGCCAGTAATTTTCCTTTAATGCATACAAAGATTGTGAATCAGTCTGTGCACACACAAAATAGTCTATGTACCTCTAGTACCTCCTAATATATTCTGGTAGTTCATGCCAACTAACTCACACCAGGAATAATTTTTATTTTCAAATTTCGATTTTAATATCAAAATTTAGATATGTAAAAAGATTGTCAGTTGAAGGCTTGACAGTGACGGTTTTCAAATCTTGTGATGAAATTAAAACTGTTCTAAAAGACTTCGTAGCTGCTGAAGCTTTATCACAGTACGTTACATGGCAGAGACAAACTTCTTCAAACATGTGGGATAACTTTCAACCTCGGTCTGCTCACGTCTTAGAAGTTGCTTTCAAGGTATATAAGAAAATATGTGTATATGAATGAAAACTTGATTAAACTGTTATCTTAAAATTGCCAAATCTCCCCTGTACTAACTGTATAAATCCCACGTCTTATGCCGACCCTCCTAATCATTTTCTTTTTGTAGATACAAGTTTGTGAATAAAAAACTGATAATGAACACTGAAATCTTGATTTGTGGTGTCCCAATAGTCCAGACTGAATTCCATGGCAGGTACACGCCCGAGGGCGCTAGCGCTCTGCCAAAATGCAAGCGAGCGAATTCAATTTGGCACGTCGAAAATTTGCAATTGCTCACCAATGAAAATCGGTATAAATGGTTTTTAAACTAATAATTCAGTAATTTAATGATGCCAAAAAATTGTAGCTCCACAATTGTTGACTACGGCCTGATCGAAAAATGCGAAGCAAAAATGACCACATTTAATAATTGCTTGGCGGTATGGTGCATTGTGTTGAATGATGGGAATCCCGTGAGAATAGTTATGGGAAAAAAGATCGCTTGACTCCTTGCCGACGCTTTTCATTCACGGCTCTGATTCAGCGTATTGTTTATCCAATAATTTTACGCAAAAACACTCCCAAAATTAATGTCAAAGTATAGAAATAATGTTTGGGAGTCAACGGTCAAATGTCATTTTTGCTTGGTTCAACGTATTTTTTCATCCATTAATTTTACGCGGATGTACTGTACAGTAACGGTATCTAAAGTCTCACAGACATTCTCAAAATTAATGACAATGTATATGAAATAATGTTGGGGGTCAAAGGTCAAACGTCCATTTTGCTATGATTCAACGTATTTTCCCTCCAATAATTCTACGTAGAAAACACTCTCAAAATTAATAACAATGTATAGAAATATTGTTCGGAGTCGAAGGTCAAACGTCCATTGTTGTTCTGATTCGACGTATTTTTATCTAATAATTTTACGCGGATGTATTGAACAGTCTGACAGTATCTAAACTCAAAGTCAGTTGCACGCAGGCGCAGTCTTTTTGCATGCTGTGAGTTATAATTGAAGGCCAGGAATTCTGATTTGCACACAGGAATTTTTGATTGCACGTCCGATTTCTCGTTCAAAAAGGCCATGAAATCCAGACTGGCCAATGATGTGAACTCTACTCGTTTCATATTTTTTCTAAATCATGACACACATGAACGTGAAGTATTGTGAGTGGGACATGAATTTTTGGCTGGTTCACGTATCCGTTGTTCAGTTATAGCTTCCTCCACTAATAAGTCCATGCATCTAAAGCAAATAAATGGCGAAATAATACCATACGTAACATGGACTAATACCCAAACAAAAGGCTTTGGTGCACACATGCCTGTCTTATCAGGTTTAAATATGAAAATCCTATTCTAACCTTCATGACAAAAACAAAAATATTGTTTAATTTTTTTAAACCAGGCTCGCGATGGCAACAAAACATATCCGATATTGAACAGAATAAACGTTCCTTACTTCAAAAACAATGCACTGCACAGGACTATCGTCGACCTTTCTACCTTAGAGAATGGCATGCATGGCGGCAATCCACCAAAAGTTCGAAGAAAAATAAATGAAAAAAGTGCTGACGGTTGGTAGAAATTTAATCAATTTCATATATAGGCCTTATCCCAAGAGTGAGCAAAGTTTTTTTAATTGCCGAATCAAAGAATTTTCTTTTGCAATAGACGCATTGATAAAAGAGCTCAATTTTTTCCAAATTTCTTCTAGGTATTTATGTGGTGACGAATTTATTAGAGGCTGACATTGTTGAACTGGAGATGACAAAAAACAATAATATTATGTTATTAAATAAAGTTCAAAAACGAATCTAAATTTTTATGCAAAAATTTTCTCCAAGAGTTCTTCAAGGTTTGCGCAAACTAACTTGGTTTGCCGCATGTGGCTCATGGTTTGTCTATTTCTGCTTTAGCCTGATATCCATTTAAATAATTTATGTGATTTAAAATTCTCCCAGCACACATTTACAAATTTTATTCTGCTAGAATTATCAATATTCTTTCAGAAAGTCCATGCATCTGAAACAAGTAACTTGCTAACTAACCCCATTTCTGATATGGACTGGTAACCGGACGAAAGGCTATGGTGTGTTGTATGATTAAGCTGTCTCATCGGCTTTCCTGTTTCATGGGATAAATATGTAAATCCTATCTTATCTTTTGTAAGATGTTTTACCAGACTATTGGTCTGACATGAAAGGACAACAACTGATAAAAGTTAAGTTAAGTTCAACATCTAAAGAATATCAAACAGTTTTCACAAAATTCATAGCATCGGGACAATTTCATCAAAATATTATTCATGTAAGTTCAAATTATATTTTGGATTTGTAAGTATTTCACTTTACTAAAGCTAGGTTCATACTACTAGGGTACAATGGGCCTGATGCGGTTTCTCCACGCTAACCCTCACCCAACCTAGAGAGGCAACAGAGCGGTTATTCGGAGGTCATGAGCAAAGACCGAACTAGTTATATGACTGTAATTCGTTTAATTTTTTGACTGTAAAGCACATGCGGGACATAAAATAACTTATAGAAACCCCTTAGAGACAAAACTAGGTATTTATAGAAAAGGGCGAGGGGCCTCAAGTGTTGAAAGTCTTCGGAAGTGGGCCACAGAGCATGCAAGTTTGAGAAACAATGAATTTTTAGGTTTTCCAAGGAATGTTGATAAGATGGCTTGAACTTATGGCAACCTTGCTTGTTATCTGACTACTTGTACAGAGAATAGTCCACTAATCATATGTTTTAAAGCAGCGACTTGATGCTGGAAGATGCCATAACCAATCACATACATGAACCACCCCATGTCGGCAAGGATTCCAGCAATCCTCTCGCACATAATCACATTAGATTCAAATCCGCAATCCCATGGTGGGTTCTTGGTGTAGTGATGATAGGAGTGTTGCTAGTATTCAGCAAGATGCACAGTCAAGACCAAACCAGAAGGACTTAATATTTGCAGACATTTAACTTTCAGATTGAAAGAATACAGCATGTATATTTGTATAAGCAATATGTCGCCAAAAAGGCTGAGGTAACAAAGAAACTCCAAGGATCGGGAGTTCAAGTAGAGAGAGAATTATTCCACGGAACGACTGATGATGATAAAATAATTCAAAATGGATTCGATAGAAGCTATGCTGGAAAAAATGGTAGGCATGACGCATGATGTCGAAATTTGATTCTTTGTCTGATATTTCTGTCGCAAGAGTAGGTTTGTGTGAATGGACCTATTTTGTGCACTTGTTTTGATGACGTCCTTTGGGCTTTAGCTAACATTCAACATAGCTGTTATAGTGCCATCCTATTCAGTGCCAGTTGAGTATTTATATCCGGCTTTGAAAAATGCAAAACCAATTTTAAAACTTACATTAGAGATTTAAAACAAGCAGATTTATACATTTCTTTTGAAAAACATTATTCTTAAGATTCATAAATGCAGAAGAGGAAAAATAAAATACATTTATAACTGATATACTTTATTGTAATTTTATCTATTGAGACCAATTTATTTGGCCCTCAAACGACAGTGCCAAACACACCCTACTCAAACTCTTGTGATTGGGATTTTGACTTGCACATTTAAATCTATATTATTGAAATACGAATTTTTTTAAAATTAATTTATAGATCGGTGACAAAATTTCCACACCATTGTTGTCCTTATTGAAAAAGAAACACATCTTGTAAAACAGTATTGTTATAAAGATCTTCAGTAATGTGATACCACTACCTTCCCTAATCAAACTGACATGAACTGCTTTGGCATTATAGTCTCAGTAGCTCAGTTGGGTTCGGCGGTGTGGAGCATTGTGCTAAACGTTATGAATACGCTTGCCACCGCATCCCCGTGGGTTCGCTGGTTCGAATCTCATGCGAGGTGATTATATGCGATAGGATTGTTGGAATCCTTGCCGCCACCTCTGGATGGTTACGGCTTCCTCCACCATCAAGTCCATGCTTCCGAAATACCTAGCTAACTAATCCCATACCCGTTATTGACTATTACCAGAAGTGAGACGTGATTCACCATATGATTAGGCCGTCTTATTGGCTTTCCTCTCCACCGGGATAAACTTCATTCCGAGATCAATCTGCTTTATTTCAGGATGTACGTATGAACTTGCTTTGAGCGAATTTCCTTAAAAAAATAAATTATAATGGAATGAATTTATTAACAGCTACTTCTTATGGAAAGGGTGTTTATTTTGCTCTGAAAGCAACCTATTCTCAACGTTATGCTCATCCAAATAGTAGAGGAGAAAAAAGAATGTTCCTAGCCAATGTCGTTACGGGATATTACTGCCAAGGATATCGAAGCATGGTCGCACCACCTCCAAGAACCAACAGTAACATTAAGAATGATCTGCATGACAGTGTAGTAGATCGCATCTCTGCTCCTACGATATGGGTGATATTTAAAGATGCAAGTGCTTATCCCACATATCTAATCACATTTAAATAGTTTTTTGGGACCTCCCGGAGTATGCGCACCAAGTTGGCGCACAACCTGAACTCAGGATATGTACCAGGTTAGGCTTCAGGTTATGTATGACGTGTATCTAATCATTTTTCATTCATCAAAGTTAATTATATTTTACATAATGGTACTGGGAGACTAACTCACCTGTGGAGACGTCTCAAAAGTACTTTGTCCCACACTTGTACTGCACTTACCCCACTTGCCACACTTTTCCTGATTATAGGAATCCTGCTGCATATATATACTTCATCCATTTTCACATGCTTTTTATCAATCCCAACCTAGAACATACCACGAATCTCACTCTATACACTTACTCTAATTCATTGCAAAAGTTTTAAAGCTAACTAAATTTGCCACAAGTTTCATATTCTAGCCCATTACATTGGTACAAATGGGGACAAGGGGTACAACAAATAGAAATGGGTCAAAAGTGGACTTATCTATGCAGTTAGAGCAGAATCTGTCACTTATGAGTCATGAATTTGCTATCACTGCTTAATTCTTTGCTTTCTTTTAATTATATTCCAGTAATTATGTAGAATGCTTAGCTTTGTATCTAATAATGAACAATCCAGCAAACTGTTTTTATCAAAAATAAACAGTGTATAAACATATTTACAGTAGTAAGTGATAATTTTTGGTTTTGCAATTTAAAAAATATTATGAATTTTGCAATCTTTGTTTATATTTATTTTTTAATTAATTCTTATTTAAGCCTGATTGGTATTTACTGTTTCAGCCGAGACTGGAATCTGCACTTTCATTACCTCTTTTGCATAAACGAAAAATGATAATAACATGAAATAAATCGTGGTGGTCCATGATATATGTAATAAGCGTTCAAAATTAGAAAAATGATTCATTTATTCTTCTATCCAGAAGTTGAGTGTTATCAGATCAATTTTTATAGATAGGTTGCCGTAGTTCGCTTTTCAAAAATTTTTTTTTTCACACCAGTAGATCAGTAGTACAGAACATTGTTAGGAACGGAGACGTAATACAAAAAATAAATTTGCAGTATGCAACTAAACTGTCCTGCCAATGTCAGTGATCTCGAAATTTAAGAAAGTCACTAAAATAACTAAATCCAACATTCCCAACCGGGGAGGATCCCCATAAAGTAATTTTGTCGTTCTTGAAGAATAATTTTGCTTTCTATTTGCAAGCGTTATGCTAATAATCTTTGTGCTCAATACTTTCTTTGCATAGTTAGGGAGGGATAAAGGGTTCTAAAATATGCGGAGGCAGAAATTTAACGAAAAAAGGTTGAGTACCACTGAACTAAATCTGGAGGATTTATCTCCGAGTATCTATGATAAACGATTACAAAGTCTATATATAATTATATGGTATATAATTTTCAGGCTATCATTTAAAAGAGGGTTGTGCAACAGGCAACGCGGGCCACCCTTCTCTTTCCCAGTGCCGATATTACCGTAAGGCTAAGTGATAGCCACATTCTCTTATCTTGCCTACCCGCTGCGTTTTTGTGTGGCCCAGCTAGATGTTTGAAGTTGGGTATATCAGTGGTTCTCAACCTTTTACAGTTCGTGGACCGGTAAATTTTAAAACAAATTTTGCGGACCAATCAGATGAATGCAACTACGACAATAGTAGGCGGTGCAAAAGAAGACAATCCAATTTACTGAGAAATTTGCTGCTGTCTTTTTGATATAATACGTGTTAAAAGTAGGGATGGGACGAGTCCGGCATTACAGAGATTCGACGAATCCGAGTAATAGGTCAAGGACTCGGAATCGAATCTGCCGAGTCCGTGACGTCATAATAGAAAAGCAGAAAAACACGTTTTTGACCATGCTACAGCATCGTGCGCTCACAAATATACGTCGTAGCTCATATTTTTTGCCTGATGGTTCCGCAGATAGCTGTTGAATCATTTTAATAATATCTTTTTCTTATTTTGGCGGCCATGATACAAACGTAAACGTGGGCCAATATGCGCCTTGGCTGTGAACTGGATTTCCAGCCCACCACCTTGCGTCAATTCTGGTCGGCTATTCAGATATTCTTACATGTTAATATGAAAAATAAAAAATCTTTTGACTACAATGCTTTCCCATAATTCCAGATATTTCTAGCCGTGAATTTACTATGTCACGTGCGCATATGGTAGAGAAATGCCACTCGTCGTCAATACATTGTGGTACATCCGCTTGCAATTTAATAGTTCATCTAAACGTTCTAAAACTCTCCATGCTTTCCATTGCCTTTTTAGCGAAAGGATTGCACGTAGTAAACCCGATTTAAAAGAGGTATTGATGAGATTCCCCATTGGGTTGATTCAGGGCATGTTTCATTTTTACGCGAATCTAAAACTCAAAAATATTGCACTAACACATATTTTATTGTGTACCACATGTATACCGAAAAGAATAGATAGTTTGAAGGCGACTGGCGCAACATCATTGTTATAAGCGATCAATAGTTTTCAACTTGCGTTATATTATCTGGATATCTGTTGTCGTTTTATTAGTTTTATTGAGTGTTTATAATGCACACGAGGGATATTGTTACAGAGCTAACTTTGAATTTTACTAGTTAAGGTATGTAGTGGGATTTAAAGAGGTAAAAGTACAAACATAAGCGTAAATTAGTAAAAACAGAATTGATTATGGACTCGGTAAAAACGACGTGGACTCGAAATCGAATCCGAGTCCAAAAAATGCCTGGATTCGACTCGAATCCGAGTCCGGATCCGAATCCCGGCCCATCCCTAGTTAAAAGGGGTTTTAATGACGTTTCTGCAAGACGAAGTAGAGTGTTGACTTCCAGACGATTTCTCCATTTGGCTTTGATGAGAGTTAACGTTGAAAAGCTTTTCTCAAATAGTGAGTTGTACAAAAAAAAAAACAGCAGTAATGTAATGGCTCTGTCACTGAGCTCGGGATATCCGTTTTCGAGAGATATCCAAAACTGGTAACTCTTCATGCTTGTTGGACATCAACGTAGTATCACAGAAATACTCAAACGTGGCGTGAGCCGCCGTTATGATATCATAGACTTAACGAACATCCAGCACGGGATCTCGTACCAAGTTTGGTTGTTAGACGCATACCGTTACTACGAATCAATAAGAGTTGAAAGATCACAAAATTGATGAACGTGCCGTCAATACTTTGTATTTTGCTTATAATATATTAATATTGGAATATACTTGGCGGACCGGCAGCGAAGTTGCCGGATCGGACGGTTAAGAACCCCTGGGGTATACGACCAACTGTCACAAAATGGCGCACACCCTGGATTTGAGGAATAAAATGCACACAATGTTTGACTGCAGAAGGCAGGCGGTAGGAATCCAGTTGTACCCAGTACATTTAGCAACATTTAAATTTACTATTTTGTCTTTATATTTCAGCAACAGTTCATGGAAAAGGTGTTTATTTTGCATTAGAGGCATCATATTCAAATAATGCTTGCTATCCTGGCCCAAATAGTAGAGGGGAAAAAAGAATGTTTCTAGCCAATGTCGTTACAGGATATTACTGCCAAGGAGATCAAAGTATGGTCGCACCACCTCCGAGAACAAACAGTAACATTAAGAATGATCTACATGACAGTGTAGTAAATCGCATCCCACCAACTGTGTGGGTAATTTTTAAAGATGCAAGTGCTTATCCTTCCTATCTTATCACTTATACCTAATTTTTTATCCAGTTAATGCTGTTTTAGAGCTAAATCTAGCTCTATAATGACCTATCTCTAGAAGGCGATGTCGGTTGGATAATTCATCTAAGCCAGTGGTTCCTAAACTTTATATGCCCCTCATGCTTCATTGAAGCTACTGCAAACTTCCACGATTTTTAAACCAAAAATACAATATAGAAGAAAATAGCACAGAGCTATTCGGGCAACATTTAAATGATCTTCCACTCCCCACAACAAAAATGGCTTACAGATTTATTGCAACTAAAAGACGCACATCATTCTTAGAGTAAAGTGTGTGCTTGGAGCTCAGCACATAGTTGTTACTTATCGATTTTAATCGGTAAGTATATTGATAGGTATTTGTATGTCTGTTTGTCTGTTAGATGCACGCGATATCTCACGAAAGCGAGATTAAATCTGCTCCAGATTTTGCATGTGCATTCATCTTATCTCGGACCAGAAGCCTATTGATTTTGGGCGAATTATGTCGCATAATTAGCGAGTTATCAATCAATTATTGATATAGTGATCTAGATTTTTGTAAAGCGAGAGAATTTTGAGAACCGCCGAGTGTGTGTGTGCCATGCGCAGTGCGCAAGTTACAAGAGCGGATGAATCAAAACTGCAGTTTCTGTTTTGGGGGATCCCCTAACTATCGATCGATAAGTCTTCGGTTTCCAACCGATATTCTCGTTTTCTTTTTCGGTGCTAAATTGCGAATCTCATGTGATCTTGTATATCTAGTTTGTTTCTTGCTTTCGTCTTGAATCATTATTTTTCCAAAACAATCACAACCTAGTATGAGTTGTAACGTAGTATAGTGACTTAATGTTTATGTATAACCATAACCGCTATAACTATAGGCACTATAATCAATGTTAATATTTTATTTCATGAACTTTACTAATTTATGTCCAACATTGAATTTCAAATCACTGTTATTAAATATGTTCATTCCAATTGCTGGCATTCATATTATTTTTTGTTAAATTCAAACATGGTACAGTATGAATTGTGACATTTCACCCTAGTCATCTCTCACATATCCTATTCTGCATAAAAATTTTAGACAACGCAAAACCAGTCCAATTACTATATATACTAATGCCCCATGGTAAAGTAGGTGGGTGCCGATGGTTAAGTCCCGGGCCAAACTACCATGGCAACACATGTTAGAATGTAGGATTCCAATCCTGCATCAAGCTGGATTCAATAAATTAGGTAAAAAAAATAAAGAATCAATGATCGTGAATATTGGTGCAAATTGTCTCAAGAAAGGAGAGTTTATATGTCTATAAAAAAAAGAGTCAACAAGCGTTTCCTTCCTTGTCCGCCTATCTTTCTCAGTCAGTCTGACCTAACCATAATATTAAAAAAAAGGAAATCGATAAGTCAATGTTGCATGTTATTGGTACGGCAATAATAGAATAATATCGTTTGCCTAAATCCACACCTATACCTCTAGCATTAGTCTACAGCAGGGGTCGGCAACCTTTCGAACGAAGCGTGCCAGTTTATGAATAATGAGCCACTTCGCGTGCCAAACATTTTTATGTATCTGTTTTGTATAGTCAGCTTGTAGCGAATGTGGATTGTATTTATGGACTATAATGTTATTTAACCCCTTTATATTAATATTATGCTGAATTCTACGAAATAAGTCACTTTATTATCGCGCCAGCGATAGGCCTATAGCAGGGATGGCGAACCTTTTTCGATAAATGGGTCAAAAATTATATTTTTATCGCGGATCAGAAGAGAGTGGATCACTGATATTTAATCAATGTTTGTATCTTAAAAAAACTTCTGAAACAAATCTTATCTAAGCTTCTGTTGGTGTTGGTGTTGGTGTAGGTTTAGGATTATGCATCACTTCTATTAGGGACTTTTAATGGCACTCGATTTTATAAAATTAGAGTACGAAAACACGCATATTAATAAAATGCAAAGTAGCATCAGGTTCTCGTATAACCCCTAAAACAGTCCGCAGATGCTCTTCCGAAAGAGACAAGACGTTGCGAGAAATGAACATATCAATTGCATTGTTATGTCATAAACGATGTCAGAGCCAATAGTTGAATTACGGTAAACAGCGGTGCAGACATGCGTCAAGATTAGAGGTTTTAAAAA